ATACCTGGGGAGGCATTGCTGGTGTCTGCGGTTGGGAATCAGCGATTGCAGCCAAATGCATCAAATTCTTTTGAAGTTGCGCCTGGTACCTGATCATCCAGAACCACGTATGTTTGAGGTAAAAAATACATCCACACAGTTTTTAAATAAACTAATAAAGATCATTTCCCAAAAACGTGGGAGGTTATATAAACCATGTTTAGCAGTTGTGCACTACAGAGCCGTGTCTTCACTGAACCAAGGATTAAGAGCCATGACAAAAGACCCTAATGCAGATGCATGATTTATGAATTAATTCAGGTAAATATTGGAACAGTAATGACTAAGAATTCAACTGTCAAATTGTAATCCTGGTTTGAACAACTTGTAGCGCATTATCAAGCAATTAGATATCTTGACCCAATGGACCTAGTCACTTTGAAGAACCAGAGTACTAAACTTACTAGTCACTCCATTTCCAAGAAGATTATTAGAAGGAAAAAAGAAATAGTGGATCTCGATCTACACTAAAAAATGTGGTAAAAAACTATCAAGTTTAGCAGTAAACTTTAGATATGTTATGGAGGAAGTTGGGGAAAGAGAGGGAAGAGATCAGCAAAGAAGAAGGAAATCCGTCTGGAAGAGAAAGAAGGGAAGCAACCGTTTTAACTAAGTTTTAAAATGTAAATTGTGTCGTTTTACTCTAGATGGAATGGTGTCGTTTTACTATTTCATTTCTATTAGTATTTTACGCTTTAATTCTAAAAGCACGACTTTCAAATGTGAGCAGTATATCTATCTCCATGTGCGAAGTGGATTTGGTCTGTCGAATTCTGTTATGCAATTTCAGTTAATGGTGGATTGATTCTTCAGTTCAATTTATATCTCTTCTCTTCTCAATTTTACATCCTTTTCCCCTCCGCAATTTCTGTTTTTCTTCATTTAAGTGGTTAACACTCAGCTGAGATAAACTTCCAGCAAGTTACGGTTAAGGAGGAGCTGAATTTGGAATCCAACCAAGACAATTTGGCATCAGAGTAGGCGTTTTGCACTGGGAATTCTTGTGATGGATACACGAGCAAAGGCAGTAGATGAACACCTCTGGAACTGGAAATTGCTGAGCTAGGTACTACGTTCAAAGCTGTCACTGGCATGTTAGAAAGCAAACTTACAGGTTTTGGTCATAGGCAAGAAAAAATTGAAGATGATATTATGGATATGAACCACAAGTACGAGAAACCAGTAACCATGGCGGCTCAGTTAACATCTGATCTTAAATATGGACAGAAGAAAAAAGTAATAGAAGAACCTTTAATTAACCTTAAATCTAGGAGTGGAATGTTTACACCAGGAGGCAGCACTAATACTAAGGGGGAGATCAAGGGAAACACAAGCTTCCTAAAATTGATTTTTCCCCTTTTGAAGGTGATGGACCTAGAGAATGATTGGGGAAAGCCAGGAAGTATTTTCAACTGCATCAGATACCTAATGAGTTGAGGTTGGCAGTGGCAGAGATGTATCTAAAGGGGAAGGCTGATATCTGGTTCGATGGTTTATTGCGAGTCATCCAGAGGAAAACTGGGGCTTATTCTCTGTGAAATTATGTAGGAGATTTCCAGAAACCACAGGGGAAGAAGTGGTTGAAGCTTTTACTAAGATCAAAGAGTTGGGGACAACAGCTGAATACCAGGAGAAGGTTGAAGAACTTAAAGTCCAAATGTTATTGGCACTACGTCATGTCCGAGAATCCCACTACATCTCTGTGTTTACCAATGGGTTGAAAGGGGAGATCAAATCCATGGTTACGACTTACGACGATGAAGCCAACCACCCTAGCCCAAGCATTTGAAGTGGCTAGCTTACCAGTTTCTACTATATAAGCCATAAGCAGGTTGCAAAAGCCTAAAAGTTTTACACCTAACAAATGGAACCCTTACCCCTCGAAACCCCCTGAAGAACCCTGGCCAAAACCCAATAAAAACCCGAACAACTATAAAACCATCACTCCCACTGACTTCCAAACCAAAAGAAACCTTGGACTTTGTTACAAATGTGATGAGAAGTACACCAATAATCATGCTTGTAATAATAGATCCCTGAATTTCTTATTGGAGATGACGAGGTAAGTGAGGAGAAAGAAGAAGAGAAGTCTGAAACAGAGGAAGAGAAGAGGAGGTGATGGAGATTTCTGTCAGTGCTTTGGCAGGTGACACAAAACATAAAACTATTAGAGTCCCAGAATTCTATAAGGGAGGAAGATTTCGATCCTAATAAAGTGGAAGCGCAAACAGTTTCCCAGATGAGGATTTGGCTAGAGAGCTGAACTATGCCCCTGAGGAAGCCAGAACTATGATAGTTAGAGTGGCTAATGGGAAATGGCTGGAGAGTAAATCCCAGAAGCAACCATTGATCTAGACAGTACATAATTGGGAGTTTCAGTACAAGTTGAGAGCACTGAAGCTGGGGGGCAGTGATATGGTCTTGGGAGTAAACTGTACAAGTCAATTTGGACCCATCAACTACATGTGGAAATGATGGAGGTAAGAGGGATGGAGAACCCATTTAAAAGACACAGGTATGGAGTAGTTGGACAGATATATTCAATTGCAGAGAAAGATGGATAAGAGATTCCAATCCAAATCAAAGAGATCATTAGCCAATTTGCTGAAGTGTTTGAAGAACCCACAGGACTGCCTCCCCCCTATATCTCATGATCATCATATTCCATTGAAATAGGGTGCCCAACCCTTCAAGATCAGACCCTACAGATGCCCACTTAATTCAGAATATAGAGATTGAAAATTTGGTTAAGGAAATATTGGGAGAGTGGCATCATCCAAGCTAGTAACAGCCCATTTGCATCACCAGTCCTAGTAAAAAAGAAGGATGGATCTTGGAGATTTTGTGTAGACTATAGGCAGCTTAATAGCCTAACTATCACGGACATATTTCCCATGCCAATCATTGATGAGTTGCTGGGAAATCAAAGGCTTCAAGTACTACTTTAAAATTGACCTTAGAGCATGATATCATCAAATAAGGTTTGCTGATCAAGACATCTACAAAACTGTCTTTAAGACTCACCAAGGGCTCTATGAATTCAAAGTGATGCCCTTTGGCCTCACTAATGCTCCTACCACATTTTGGATCTTATGAATGAAGTATTCCAGAATCAATTGAGGGACTACGTGTTGGTCTTCTTTGATAACATCCTAATTTACAGCCCTGATCTGAACACACATTGCCAACATCTCAAGAATGTACCGGAGATTCTACAGAAACATCAGTTATATGCAAAGAAATCCAAATGCACTTTTGAACAATTACAAGTGGAATACTTAGGACACATAATCAGCAAGGAAGGGGTTTCAACTGAACTTGGTAAAGCTAGTAAAGTTGAAGCTATGCAACTACGGCCTGTTCCTAAGAATGTCAAGCAGTTGAGGAGGTTTCTTGGATTGACTGGGTACTACAGGAAGTTTGTCAGAAATTATGGGATTATTGCTAGACCCTAACTGACCTCCTTAAGAAAGATGACTTCCAGTGGAGTCATACAGCAAGTATAGCCTTTGAACAATTGAAGTAAGCTATGAGCACTACCGTAGTGATGGCCTTACGTAATTTCACTAAGCCTTTTACAATTGAAATTGATGCGTGCCGGAAAGGAATTGGGGCAGTACTAATGCAGGACAGGAGATCATTGGCCTATCTAAGTAAAGTTATCGGAGTAAGAAATATGGGAATGTCCATGTATGAGAAAGAATTACTGGCCCTTTTAACAACAGTAAGAAAATGGCGGTATTACCTAGAATATCACCATTTCATTGTGAAGACATACCATCAATCCCTACAGTATCTACTGGAACAGAGGATTACCACTCCTCTCCAACAGAAATGGCTTACCAAGTTATTAGGCCTCAGCTATGAAATTATTTATATGAGAGGGGTTGATAATGTGGTAGCAAATGCTTTGTCAAGGAGACATGATGAACCCTCAGAATGTCTAGGAATCACTACAGTGGTACCTGCATGGATTCAGGAGGTCATGGATAGTTATGAAGGAGATAAGTTGGCTAAGGAAAGGATTCAGGCTTCACTAATACAACCTGAGTCTGATCCTACCTTCACCTACATCAATGGGTTGCTAAAATACAAGAGAAAAGTGTATATCGAGAGACGGGGCAATGTCAAAACAAAGCTGATAGAGAACATTCATAGCTCACAAGGAGGAGGACATTCAGGTATTCACAACAGTATCGATAGAGCCAAGCAGCAATTTCACTGGCCAGGGATGAATCGGGATATCGAGAGGGTGGCTCTACAGTGTAAGGTATGCCAGAAGTGCAAGGGAGAACACATTCCATACCTTGGTCTACTACGGCCCTTACCTGAAGCCGTCCATGCTTGGAGCCATATTAGCATGGATTTCATAAAAGACTTACCCATGTCAGGAGGGAAAAACACCATCCGGGCGGTTGTGGATAGGTTTACCAAGTATGGACGCTTCCAAAACTTTCTTGGATAATGTGTATAAATTACAAGGAATGCCCAAAGCATTGTATCAGTTAGATAAGATCTTCACCAGCAAGTTTTGGAGGGAATTATTCCATTTACTAGGCAAGCTCCAACTTAGCTTTGCATATCACCATCAAACGAATGGCCAAACAGAGAGGCTCAATCAGTATCTGGAAATTTATCTAAGGTGCATGTCCTATCAACACCCCAAGCAGTGGGAGAAGAAGTTAGCTTTAACTGAATGATGGTACAACACTACCTATCACCTAGCCATAAAAATGACCCCCTTTGAGGCACTTTATGGATTGAAACCACCCCCAACCGGCGTTAGGGCCTTATCAGCAGTCTAATGTAGCTGCAGTGGAAGAGATACTACAAGAGAGGTACAAACTGGATCAGCAATTGAAAGATAATCTAGCACAAGCCAGGGCAAGGATGAAACACTATGATGACAAAAATCGAACTGAGAGATCATTTGAAGTGGGCGATTGGGTTTTTCTGACGCTAAATCCTTACGCACAAAGGTCAGTGGAACGCGAAGTTGCCCATAAATTAAGTGCTAGATACTTTGGCCCATATATGTGGTAAAGAAGTT